GGGGGGGGGGGGGGGGGTATGGGTGTTGGGATTATAACTGTACTGGGGCGACTGTTTGAGTTGGATGCGTTCACCATAAATACATACATTAAACCGAATTCTGGTTTTTGTATTATTTTTACGCAGTCTATCTTCAGATGCGTAATAATAAAGATAAAAGCGAACTTTGAATCTTGATCCAAAATGTGGAAATTATTGGCATCTGACTTGCACGATCCGGATCCAAAGCCGAGGATATCATGGGTATATGAACTGTACGATTCGGATCCAAAGCTGAAGACATTATGGGTATCTGATTTGCATGATCTAGATCCAAAGCTGAGGATATCATGAGTAGTTGACTTGCGCGATCCGGTAACAGAGCTACGGATATCATATGTGTTTGACTTGCGAGTACCGGATCCAAAGCTGAGGACATCATTGGTATAATTTTTTTGTCAAAAGAGGAGGGGGGGGGTAGCAGTGCTAGAACGATGTTAGTATTTCTAGGGATGCATAGGATGTGATATTATTGAATAATTTTGTGAGGGGGAATTCTTAATTATTCTTTGTGATTAGTATTTTTTTGTTGGAAGTCCTATTTAGTTCATGTAGGTCTACGTTTGGATATTTAAATATCTTTATATTTTTCTACTTTTGAACGTAAATTCTTTGCTAAAACAATCTGCAATCATATAACGTTTTGTATCTGATATGTATCGCTCATTTTTCGCTGAGAGGCGGAGCGTATTCTAGTGGTTAACGTACTGGGATATGAACGGCAAGGTTCAAAGTTCGAAATTTTACACTGTTGAATAAGATACCCTTTTATCTGTTGACGCGTTATAAAAGAGACAATATGGTTCAAATAATTTGGAAAAGCCCTTTTGGCGGCGGATATTGCTGACTAATAATTGCCTCTCTCTCTCTAGTCAGTAACTTAAAATCAGGGAGGGCTCTGATCTGGCCACGTAATTCATGTGTCATATAAGATGCCGTTCAGGTAGAAAAATTCCTGTTTTAGTTTCTGACTGAGGGAAGTTGAACTTGGTGATACGAGGAATTTTTTGTTCAACGAATGTTCAAATTAATTGAAGTTCAATGTTTGAATAGCGTTTATTTTATGTTAACACTAACATTGCATGCGTAGTACGATATAATATGCGCAAAAAATTAAAGATTAATTGGAATTTATAATATTTTGTCAGTATTGTTTGTTTAGTTATGCACAAAGCTACACAAGGGCTATCTGTGCTCTGCCCACCACGGGTATCGAAACCCAGTTTCTAGAATTGTATGTCCGCAGACATACCGCTGTGCCACTGGGGGGCATTTTGTCAGTATAAAAAAAATTATCAGTCACCCTCTGTAGTTTCTTTTTCATGGAAACCAGCTATCTGATGATACTTAATGTAAATGATTGGCTGTTGATGCTGTTAATTTTTTATCGCAAAGCTACGCAATGGGCTATTTGCGCTCAGTACACTGCGGGGGATCGAACCACGGCCTTTAGCATTGTAAGACAGTAAACTTACCGCTGATCCATCGGGGGGGGGGTCAACGATTGATAACTGTGTCTACAGTCATAGGTAGATTTCCTCATTGTGACTAAAGTTACAATTTTACAGCTATGTTCATTTGCTCGAATATTGTTGATGTATTTTTCATGTTTTTTTTGTTGTAAAACGTTCTTTGCCGTGACTATATTGATTTACAATAAGTCGTTTACGGTTGTATGTGTTACATAATTGCTTTAAGGAATATTTTTGATCATATTATATTTAAATATCAGATAATCTAAGAACCCTAGCCATCTATTATCGCCCTCTCCCCCAAAAAAATACAATGTTAAAGATCTTTGAAAATTGGATAAATGTGTTTTTAAACGTAAAATTTCGTGTTCAAGTGAACTTTTTTTTGATAAGCTTGCGCTAAATTATAGGGGGAGTGTTGCCATGGATCTTTCAAGTTTTCACTTATAAATTGTTATAGTAAAACTAGGAATCCATGTGTATGAAACCTGGAGTAGATGTTCTTTAGGTGTCTTTAAAACTAAAGTGACTATTTATAGTAGTATTTATCAAATTCAACTAAATCTTCTATGTTTCTAATATTCTTAAGTTTAGCCATTAGTGAACAGGTAACTATAGAAGGGACTGCAATGAATATAATCACGAAATTGTCTCATTCTTCTTAACATAGATCGTGGGGATACATTTACTTTGATACTTCCAGCATGAAATATTTATGCTGTTCTTTATCGGATAGCTAAGATAATGCTCTGCTTATTAAAACCCTATACTTTTAGTTGTATTGTTTTGTATTTTTCATGCCAACATTGGTAATCAGTCTGCAGTTTATGCTGTTAAAAGCTAGACATGTGTTAAATAAAACAAAAACCAATCTACATTATACAAAAAAAAATGAGTTTTAGATAGATATCTAAACGAGATATTGTTAAAGTATTTATATTTATTCTTCGTAGCCCCAAACTTCAATAAAACTTGTTTATTTATGTTTTCACGGTGTGAAACACGATCTCGTGTTTCCTACGAAGGCTGGAGAGAACACTTATTACCAAAAGATAACCCGGTCTTTTATCCTTTCCATAAAGTACATGACAAAATAATAACTTACACCTGCCTCATTATAATACCTTCACCTAATGTCTAGCTTTACCGTACAGCTGGTTTTACTTCTGAGCACACGACTAACATGGCTCTATTAATTAAGGTTGAAATTTAACTATCTTTACTAATTAGTTAAGCATATCTCACTGGTCTCTTGATGACATTAATTAGTTTAATATATTTTATTCTATTCTGTCTTCAATGAAATGGGAATGATTCAATCGTACAGATGTTGAAAATTAAAAATATTTCAATGATAGGGCAATGATTCAACTCTTTCAATAATGAAAATGAAACACAGTTTCAATGAAACGGCCAAGATTCAACTCTATTAATAATGAAAATGAAACAGTTTCAATGAAACGGCAAAGATTCAGATCTATTAATAATGAAAATGAAACAATATCAATGAAACGGCCAAGATTCAACTCTATTAATAATGAAAATGAAACAGTTTCAACGAAACGGCAAAGATTCAGATCTATTAATAATGAAAATGAAACGGCAAAGATCGAATTGTCAATTATGAAAATGAAACAATATCAATGAAACGGCCAAGATTCAACTCTATTAATAATGAAAATGAAACATAATTTCAAAGAAACTTGTTGTTCATTTGAACATCCCAAGCAATTATTCAAAACACCTTCTGGATTGTTTGTACC